AATAACAAGGTGTATTTGACTTTATAGTCTACCGGGACGGACCAAGTCTCTATCCCGCTCGGTTCCCACTCACACGCCCATCACCTAACGTGTGTGTCACCTCTAAATATCGACATTATATGAACTTCTCGGGGTTTCGTACCCTCAAGACCAGATTTAAAACTGTTACTTACCTCAAACCAAGCAAAATCCTACTCCGTGATGCCCTTGCCTCTCAAATCGGCCCCCAAACGCCTCGAATCTAGCCACAAGCAATACAATACGATCAATATAGGGTAAAGGAATCAATTCCACAAGAAAAATACCAAATTAGACTCAAAACCCAAAATTGGCTCAAACCCGGCCCCCGGCCCCACGTCTCGAAATCCAACAAAATTTACAAAACTAGAAAGCCCATTCACTCACGAGTCCGCACATATAAAATTTATCCAAATCCGACATCATTTGGTCCCTCAAATCCTTAAATTAAACTCTTCAAAATCCCAAGCCTTAACCCCTTATTTCCACTAATTACATGATTAAACAATGGAAAATCACCATATATATGAGTATTAGGGCTCAAGCAACTTGCCTCACTGATAACCCTTGAATCACCCTTCAAATATCACTCCAAAAGCTCCACAAACCGACTTGAAAATGGTGGAAATGAACCAAATTCACGAAGGGTTCTATTTATGGTTTCTGTCCAGGTTTTTCGCACCTGCGGACAGATTTCACGCTTATGCGCCACCGCACTTGCGAAAATTTCCATCACAGGTGCGGAACTCACTTAGGAGCCCAGGTTCTGCATCTGCGGCCCAACATCTCGCACCTGCGAACGCGCACCTGCGCATTTCCTTCCGCTTCTGCGAAGTTGCACAATGCCCCCTTTTCCGCATCTGCGCCCCAGGTTTCGCACCTGCGAGCTCGCAGATGCAACCTCCAACTCGCACCTGCGCATCCTGCCTAGCCCAGCACTGCCCGCTCCTGCGGACTTCCCATGTGCCACCTGCAACTCTTCCTTCCGCATGTGCGGAAATAGCAGAAGCAGCAACTTCAGTTGTATTTTCCAACTTTGACAAATCCGTTAACCACCCGGAATCACCCCGAGGCCCTCGAGACCTCAACCAAAAATACCAACAAGTCATATATCAACATACAAACTTAGTCGAACCTTTGAATCACCCAAAACAATATCCATACACCAAATTACCCTCGGATTCAAGCCTAAGAACTTCTAAAACTTCCAAATTCGACAACCGATGCCGAAACCAACCAAACCACATCCGAATGATCTCAAATTTTACACACACGTCACAAATGCCACTATGCCAGCAAGTCCTTATAGAACTTAACAAAGACATCAGCAATTACCTCTGGTTTATTCTTCATATTAGCATGATAATCCTGTATCTGAGTAATGACCTGTTGTAATCTTTTTTGCTTGATGATTGAATGAAAGTATTTAGTATTATCATCTCCCAGTTTCAACCATGTTACTTTACTCCTTTACTTCAAGAAACACTCTGCCAAGAAAGATCTCTCTTTATACTGTGTGTTGGAGTATTAAATCTGAAGGATTTAGTTGTAGTTTCCTTTGGATTTCCAGTAATTCCTCTCTAGTTTCATCAGCTTCATTAACAATATTCTTGAAACCTTGTGCATTCAATTCTCTCAATCTCCTCTTCAGTAATTTAAGTTTTCTAACAATTTGAAACATTTTGTGTCCCTCTACTTGAACACCCCAAACTGTCCCCACCAGCTCAAGGAAGTTTGAGTGAGTAGACCATATATTACAATACTGGAAAGGTTTTCTCTGACTTCTTGGAGGCTGCCTCAAAGTAACTCTAAGTGGACAATGGCCACTCACTTCCTCAGGCAAAAACGTGGCCACACACTCTGGCATGTTGTCTATCTAGTCTCCGTTTATAAAAGCCCAATCAATCTTGGAATAAATTATATCTTCCCCTGCTTATCATTCCATGTACACCTATGTCTATGACTGGGTAATTCTAGCAATCCACACAATTCTATACATGTGTGAAAATCAAAAATCTTAGCCATGGTTACTGGGTTACCTCCAATTTTGTCCCCTGGAGTTAATACAAAATGATAATCTCCTAGGATAATGCATGGAGTATTACTAACTACATGAACTCTCCTTATATATTCCCATAGTTCTTTTATGTCATCTCTAGTGTTAAAAGCATAGATGAAAGTAACTTGAAACTGCAATTGCATTGGTAGATATATAACTTGACAAGTGAGAGCTTGTGACGATCCCACTCCTACCAATACCTGGTACATATCTGTTTTCCATGCCACTAAAATCCTTCCATTATAATGGGAAGATAAATTAGTAGCATATTGCCAGCCTACAAACAAGTTATTTACAACCTGTTCCACTCGATGTGCTTTAACCTTTGTTTCAAGCAGTCCTACCAATCCTACACGAGTCTCATTGCAGAGGAGCTTGACCTCCTTCTACTTACTAGGGCCATTTAGGCCCCTAGTATTCCAACACAGTAAGTTAACCATGACCCGAAGGGGGTTGTAAAGCCCCTCACTCATTTTTAACTCCACTAGCTTGATTATGCCCTGACATACTTGATGAGGTACTTGCTTGCATCCCAATTCCATGATGCGTGTTGCTATTTTCCTCCCCTCTTTATTTTCCCAAAACCTGAAATGAATTTATAATAGATACATGTTTTTGTTGCACTTGTGTTGCTTTATTAACTCTATGTGGAGTAATCTACTCCTCAGCTTGATCCCCACCCCCCTTAACTATATGTTTGCATCCTTCTTTTTAGGAGATATTGTCGCTTCCCTAGCTTCTTTGTTCAGCCCCTTCTCCTTTGTTTGCATTCCAACCTTATCTTGTTGGTTAACAAGTTGTGGTTAAGTTTCTTCCTCTTGTTTGTTCTTCTTGTTTCTTCTACAGTCTTCACTCTTATGGCCATATTTCTTACAGACTTGACACAACGTAGGTTTTCAATCATATTCAACTCTCTATCATAACTCCCCTTGCATTTCTAAACAAAATGTTATCAGGGAGGGTGGTATCGACTTCCACTTCCACCAATAACCTGGTAAAATTTAGACCAACCTTCTTCTCGGTGTTCTTATCCACCATTAGAGGTTTGCCTACCAGATTACCAAGCTTGCTTTGACCCTTTACACTCCAATACTTAAAATCAAGCCCGGGTAGCTTAATCCAAATTGGAACCATGAATAATTCTTCTCTAGTGAACTCCATGTCTGACGACCAAACTTTAATAATAAACGGCTTGTTATCAAAATGATATATCCCACCTTGAATTACCTCATTCTTCCCTTCAGCACTGTCGAATCGAACTAAAATTATACCATTCTTAAGCATTACTATTTTGTTTATCCCATATTTTGCCCACAATCTCTGAATAAACCCATTTAAAACAGCAAACGGTGGATGAGCTCCTAGAACATAATATACTACGACATTTTCCCAAAATTCTATCTCAGAGCTAATATCATCATAGTCAATTTCTCCAATGGGGTTCTTACCATGAGTATTAGGCTGACAATACTCCAATTAGAACCCAACATTTTCTATATTTGCTATATCGAATTTGTCCCAAATAGAAGCTTGTACTGTTTTCCCTTGATTGCTTTGCTCTTCTTCTCGGCTCGCTATCCTAATCGACTCCAATTGCTCAGTTTGTTCCACCTCATCTGCCCAGGACTGCTTACGATTCTCCTTTAAATGTTGAATCACCTCCACCCATTCCTTCAGCTTTTCTGCATCTGACTGCTTTAGTGTAATTGCAGTCCGATTCACACTTTGAGTCAAATTAGGTCTTCTATCGTCTAATGTTGAGTCCTCTTTACTTTCCACAACACTATGTTGTTTTTCTGTACGTCCTCGTTGAGTAGCTATAGACTCATCTGCCATTTTTGCTTTCCAAGAGGGTACCCGAGCTCTCTTACCCATGGCAGGCGCAAGTTAGATAAACGTGCGCTGAGAGCGAAGCGAATACCTCATCTTAGTATTATTTTCCAAATTATCCCTTACTGATTTAAGCATTTTCTTTTCTTTTTTGTTTCTAGCTTCTACCATTCTTTTAAAATCAGATGCATGAATCATATTGTAATTTTCCAAAATTCTTTTTTGACTTTTCTTGTTTTTGATTTTTTCTTTGTGTAATGTCTTGTGGCTTTCGAATTATCTTCTTCTTTTTTACACTAAAGCAAATTATCTGCATCCTTCTTTTGATTATCAATTATCTTCCTACAAATAATCATTTATAATTTTTTATGTTATTCCTTTAGAAATGCAAGGCAAGTCTTCTACTATTATGAAGGCGTTGTATGATAGAATTAGAGAAGAAATTGTTGAGAAATGTTATCATGTGTGAGTGATTTTGCTTATTATTTCACGGTGGATTATCAATATATAGTAACTTTTGAAATAGATTTCTAATTCATACTGAATGTTGTATTTTGATTATTCAAATCATCGTGTAAACAATAAGTAATTATACTAGATAATATTTTTTTTGGTTATAACTATATATGTTATATTGATCTAAATCTTTAATGTGTATGTTTACTTTCTGTTTTATATTTTAATTATAAATAAAATAAAAAAATAATAAAAGTCTCTTACAATAAATATTTGAATTTACTTTTCTCTTTAAAATAAATATAAGACTTTGGTACTATCCTTTTTGGTAATTTGACACTCAAAAATATTTTTCAGAAAGATTGGCCAAACACAATTTGCTTACCAAATATTATAAAAAGTACTTTTTAAATGAATTAGCAAAATACAAATTATTATTTTTTCAGAAGTACTTTAAAAAAATACTTATGAAAATTTTAAAATAAATTGTTTTTGAGGCCAAACAAACTCTTCAAACATTATACTTGAGCACTTCAAATAATGGCTAAAATTTCGATTATATTTTAAATAGCGGCTATTTGAGCACTTCTCACTATATTATATTTGGTTCCATAGCTCCAGAAATCAGAAGAAAGATGGGAAGCTTTCCACTTCCCTCGCCGTCGTCGTCTCTACTGATTTCCAGCTCCTCTTCCATTTCGGGAAGACCATCATCCACAATTTTTTATCCTCGCAGGCGCTTTAGGCAAGTCTTGTTCCTTCTTTTTTCGTTTTTCTCCGATTCTTGCCATATAATTTTACATTTGGGAAGTTTGACTTTCTCATTTCTATTTCAGAAAGGCGCAAGCACTCTCCGTTTCCTGCGATTACTCTTGTTTCGAAGTAAAGCTCTCTTCTTTTATTTCTTTTCCTGAATGATAAATTTTGTATTATTTGCTCCTTTATCTTTTCATAATCTTAGGATAATTAATTCCTGCAGAGTTATTTAACATTGTTTTGCTTCCCCATATCTGGGATTTAGATGTATAGCAGGCTTCCTTTTCTTTGTTGTGGTGGCGGCAAAAAATGTTATGTTACTTAGGTGGGTGGACCTTATTCTGTAGCATATACACCATTTAAACCAACAAGTCATTCAGCAACTTTTTATTGAATTCCCAATGATATTTCTTTTAATGATATATCTTTTTAAGTATCCTATACTCCTAATGTACTTTTCACTTTTATTTTAATTTTGTATAATGTCGGCCTGAGATGATTTTAAACGGAGAAACATGGTTAGTGAGGATTGATATAACCAATCCGAACTTGTTTTGGATTGAGGCGTAGTGGTAATTGTTGTTTGTAGACTCCTAGAGGTTTATAAGTATTAGAAACACGGTATTCCAAATAACTCTTTGCCATCTTAATTAACAAGGGATGAAGCCTGCTGAACTTGAATTCATTTTTCTCTTTTTTGTTGATCGTTTTTGGTTGTCCAGAGATTAGTTAACATATTGCGGTTGTATTGTGGAGGTGCTAATAATAGATGTTCGACCCTTTTCCTTTTTATGGATTTTTGGAGATAAGGGACGTGTCTTATCGACCTCCAGGGACCAAGATCAACCTATTGAGTCAAGTCAATCTTTCAATTCCTGAGAAAAGGTACAGTCTGTGTTGCTATAATTCAAATGCAATACATTCCATTACTGTCATAAATTTCCTTTGTCATCTTGTCAGATCCTGGTTTAGAGCTAACAAGGGATTATTTCGTCTATTTCTTGATTGGATGGAAGCACACATGAGATCAGAAATCCAGCATCTCATAAGATTTTCAAATGTTTTAGCTATTCAATAAGATTTGTAAAAACATATGAAGCTGTCTATGGAACAATGTCGCTGCTAATCAACTAGGATCTCAAATACTGATATGCATTTTAAAGAGGCTCTATGTGGAAGAGAAGATCTGACATGGTTTTTTTGTAGTTTTGGCTTGATATTTGGACGAAGTGGCAGTGGAAAAACTACTTTATTGCAGGTCTTCCTTTTGATTTTGTCTTTTCTATTCAAATTCATTTTAGCCTTTCTCTTGTCCAACCAATGAAAGGTACTTTGTTCAGGCTGCTTTTTATCTTTGACCTTCTCCATGCAAACCAATGAAAGCTGCTTGCAGGGTTGAGCAAACCAACGTCAGGTTCAATATATGTGCAGCGATATAGTGATGATGGTGAAAAGATCAAGTCTCCTGAACCTTTACAACCCGAAAGAGTTGACATTGTTTTCCAGTTTCCTGAGAGGTACTCATTTTTTGGTTGGTGGTGTTTCATGCACTGTCAGGATGTTCTTTGTGATACAATGCGATTTTCATGAATAGGCCCATATTGAACATAATACATTTTCATTTGCTGTTTTTATTGAGAAAACAACAAAACCCCTCCAGTTAGCAATGCAATTATTTAAACTCTATTTCGTTACTCTTCAATTCTGGTATTATGTACATAAGTATATAGATTTATCTATTTACATGCATATTAGTAAAGTGAGTATTGCATGGTTAGGTAGGTACATAAAGTTTAAGCAGTTCTTTTTGTTTCCAATAGCAGTTTATTCAACTTGATTTTGTTTGTTTCACTGCCTTACAAATACTTTGTTGCTGACACAGTTCTTGATGAAGTTACATTTGGATGGCCAAGACAAAAGGGTGGCCTCCAATTAAGAGAGCTTCTTGCATCGAGACTTCAAAAGGCCATTACCTCGGTACATATTCCTTTATTGCGATTTAAACTGTCTTTTAAATTTGTCTTCCAAAGGAGAAAAGCTCGTCCGCGTTTCAGCAAATTATGACAGGCTTTTATGTGGTTGACAACTCCTAGGTTGGTCTAACAGGAATGTCTTTGGACAAGGATCCCCACTCATTAAGCGGTGGCTACAAACGTCGGCTTGCCCTTGCTATTCAGTTAGTAAGGATTTCTCATTATGAAAAACTGGAAGTACTTGTATTCCGTTTATGTGCATTTATGTGAACATGCATATGCCCATTTGTGTGACAAAATATTGTTGATATCTTGGGTGATCATCTGTCTATTAATATAATATTTCTCTTTACACAGGTTCAAACACCAAATTTATTAATATTGGATGAGCCTCTTGCTGGTCTCGGTATGAAGAAGCTCACCGCTGTGATCTATTTCATTTTGTTCTTTGGACTAGTATTTTTCTTCCCATTTGTATGTTTTTCCCTGATCGGGTATTATCCATTAGTTGGTGATTCTCCTACGTATGTATGCTTGGGTAACGAAAGTGCTGGTTTAATGGAACATGAATAGTTGAGATTTCTAGGTTAAATTTGAAAGGAAATAGTAGGAATTGAGATGCCTGCACAAGGATTTTACATTTGATATTTTCGAAGAACAGTCTTTCGTCCCACCATGGTTGTTAAAGTCTGGATCTTCGTATTCTGTAATCTCAGTAGTCCGAACTCACAAAAGTTCTAACTTGTTATAAATTGTCTAAAGCACCAAGATTTTAAATTCTTACTAGTAAATAGTAATTAGCTTTAGTAATCTAAAGAAAAGAATCATGTATATGTTACTTTTACTTTATGAAGAACGTACAAATTATGTTAAATCTTTCTGCCATAGAACATTAAGGTTCTATTTTAGGTTGCATTCTCTAATTCTCCAAAAACTAATGGCAACCAGGTGGTATCTCTACATCTGTTTTAGAGGAGCTCTTCTTTGGCTTCACTGAAAAGCATTTTTCCTCTTAAATATAAGCTTAGAATTCCTTGTTGGGTTATGTGTTCTTATTCTCCAAATGGTAACATCGATGTAAAGAAAGATTGTTGTTTTAAAACACTCTTGCCACTATCTGCATACCAGCTCTCATATTTGCTTTTGCCAATATGATTGCAAGAGGTAATCTGGAAATTTATTGTATTAATTATTTGGTATGGGTGGTGCAAGTGGAGTTCAAGAGCTTGCCAGATTGGATCGTACCTCAGTTCGGGTTGCATGTTGGATAAAATGGTATGAAGCTTGCTTGTGGTGCAGAGCAGGAGGATTGTTTTATGGAGTGATGCTATTTCCATAGAGATCGGAAAACTTAATTGTACTGATCTCTTTTGTTTGATGTGATTTGCTAGCATCGTCATGTTCTTGCTTAATGAATTACTGTAGCATCGTCTGTTTGCTTAGTTTAGACCTTGGAAGTTATTAAATGGATACCTTATTTTCATATTTTGGACCCAACTTTAAATTATACTCCTATTTGAGTAGCTAACCCCAGTGTCTGAAAAAGTGTAGATTTTATGAGGGAAATCAGATTGGAAGGCTCGTGCAGATGTGGCGAAATTGTTAAAGAATCTAAAGAAGGAGCTAACTTTACTAGTTGTCAGCCATGACCTCAAGTAAGTTCTTGATTTGGTCCATTTGATGTTTTTGTTTACATACGTTATTTTATTGGAAATGTATCACCATGCTGGATGTCTAGCATTGTTCACTCGAGGTTGGCATTGATATCAAGAAAATTAGTTGACATTTTCTGGTGAAGCCGTGGATGAAGTCATTTATCCATAAATATTAACTCTGGAACTCCCTGTCCCTTTTTGCTCCTTAATAACCGAGAAATCCGTTGTTTCGCTTCGAAATCTTTCTTCTACTCCTAATGATTGTCATATGAATTTTTTTTTTTATTTTGTCAGCTCTTTAGCTCTTGCTTAGCTCTTTTTTGTTCATAGCTGACTGTCTTTTATGTACTCTCTTTTGTATTTCTTGCATCTTCTGGATGCCATATATAAAATTCCACTCACTTCATCAAAAATCTTTCTTCTACACTTCTTCACTTAAAATATCAGACTTGTTTGCCAATCAACATTCGAACTCGTGATTTGCACCTACCACACATCCTGCATCTACTACCTTTGCCACTCCGTGTGCCACTTTTGGTTGTGCCATAATGATAATATCAAATGTCATGATAAAGAAATTTTCACTTAACTTTTAGTCTCTTCATTTAAAATTGCGTATCTTGTTTCCTTGTAGCATTTTTATATATGAACGCTGACTTCATATTTTATTGATAATATATTTTAGAGTTCATATAAGAATTTGTTTGTATGACAAGCAGCCAAACAACAGATTAATTCATCAGATGTTGAAAGCGGAAGAGTAGAGTTTAAAATTTTAAAGTGTTTGCAGTAAGGTGAAATCTTATCAAAGATAAAAAGGAAAACCGATACAATCAATTTGAAATAGAAGGGAAAGACAATATAAGGACACACTTTTACACTTAGCACAATCACCTATTTCCGAGTTAAAGATCAATCAATCTATTGTGCCTCAATCCGTAACTAGTTGGCCTGCTATAGTTTTCACTACTCTCCTTGAAGGATACAAAAAACTAGGGGTGGCCACTATTTTTCATAGGTGAGGTAGAATTGCATTCAACTCTCAACTTGAGCATATTCACACAAGGGTATTTAATTTGAAGACAATAAATCATCATTTTGTTTCTGGTACTCCTTTTTTTACACTAGCAATTCATCGTGGTTCTTGATTAATTTTTAACTACACATAGCTGGCAGTGAAATTCTGTATGTTCCTATTTTATTTGAAAATTTAGTTCCTTCTCTAATAGCCGCATTGATGGTGATCTACAGGGAGTTGGCATCTTTGGTCGATCAGTCTTGGAGGATGGAAATGGGACTTAAAAGAGAGCCACTACCCATTTAATACTCCGGGATTTATTATATTCCCAGCCATTAGTTTCTGATGCAATGGATTAGGTATTAGCACAGCTATTAGGCCTCTTTATTGTCGCGCTCTTTCAGTCAAGAATTGAGTAGTAGTAAATGAAGCTCAAAAGATAAAAACGGCATGGTGCGTTACCATTGTAACTGTGAAACTCTGATCTTTCACTTTAATTAGAGGTGTCAAATAAGCCGGTTGGGTTAAAGTTCCAAGCTGCCCAAAGTTTGCTTGGGTCAAGATGGGTTGGTTTAGAAAGGGTTGAGAAGCGCGTCATAACCCAATCTGCCCAAGTAGACCAAATATATTTGTCATAGCTCACTATGCAACCAAAATCCAGTTTTTATTTCAAACCATGCAGATCTTAAATATAATGTATGTGTATTTTAGATGAACAGAAGACTTCGGAGCATTCGAATCATATGCTCATATGCAACTTTCTGTGTTTCTATGTTATTAAGTGAGGTTGCTCTATTGGCAACAGTTCTTAGTTTCAACCAAGAGGTTGGGAGTAGGGGTGTCAATGGTTCGGTTCGGTCGGTTATTTTATAAAATTTATGTCATACCAATTTTTCGGTTATTCTATTATATATAACCAAAATTAGACCTTTTGAAACCGTTCCAATCTTCTCTTCGGTATCAGTACAGTTCGGTTAATTTTTGATAATTTTTTTAAATGTCATGTAAAAATCACTAGTAGAAGTAGAATGCAATAACATACGTACTTTTATAAGACTTGGCAAAATTTTTTAGACATTTTTATAATTTAAAAGGTGATGAATTAAGAAAACATGAAAGATGGCTACAATATAGATTCATTAGCTATTCTACTACAACATAAAAGAAACTAAGTAAATACGAAAGATATGAACTAAGCTGAGACTTAAGAATAAAGTCTATACAAGATTAAATATTCAAAAAGATAAATCTGAATCATACGAAAGGAAACATATTCAATACATTGTAATTTGCTACTCATAATCGTTATAATACCTTGTGTCTTGCTAGTGAATATGTTGGAAATAATTTAGTTTCAATAGAAGTAGCATAATTTGGGAATTAAGATTTTGAGTTTAATTACTTGTTGGCTCATAATTGTTTCATAATTCCAAGGCCCAAGAAAAAATTTAATGCTTTTTTATTTTTAAACTTAATATATAAATATATTTTTTATATTATAAATTTATTCGGTACAGTTCGGTATTTTTTCGGTTTATTTTCATAAAATAAAAAACATACCCTAATTATCGGTACGGTTATAGATTTATATAAAAACTTACATTTTTTTTTTTAAAAAAAAACTAAAAACTGGTTCGATACGGCTTAATCAGTTTTTATATATCCATTAACAGCCCTAGTTGGGAGTTTTTATAAAACTTAAGGAACCAAGTGTTCCGGTTTCACCCCAAACACTTTCAAATCCCGAACCAACCATCTTCGCAAGTCATAAATCATTACAAGCACATATGGAAAGTTTTATTTTTAGGGAACGGGGTTCTAAAATTTAAAATGACCGGTTGGGTCATTACAAGGTAATAACATATTATCACGAATAATAACCAGAAGAAGATGAATAGAGTTAAAAAATTAGAAAGAAGAGATGAATATAGTAAAAAAATTAAAATAAAAAAATAGCAGAATTTGGAAATATTATTAAGATAGGAATATAAACTAAAGGATACGAAGAAATGAATAATGAGAATAATTTATTAATATGTGTAATTTTCATAAGAAACTAAGTGGTAAATAAAAGGGGGTAGTATAAAACTAAGTGTATACTTGTATTTAAGTGTATTAAGTGTATACTTGTATTTAAGTGTAAAGATACATTCTGGTAGAACTCTAAACGACATATTTAAGGGTGAAAAAAATATTAAATTATGTTTTCCAAAATGTATTCTATCTATACCAGTTTGTTCTACTAATGTTAGTGGCTTAAATAAAAGATTACCTAACATTGTCTGACATTACGACCCGAAATTCCCACCTTCGGGACCGTGATGGCACCTAATATTTCACCTTCTAGGAAAGCCAACGTTAGAATATTATTATCTATTTTAAAATAATTTTTAAATTTATTAACAATAATAGAAATAAATGCGGAAGTAAAGTCTGAAATATAGTGAATAATCCATAAAAATAAATAACGTTGTCTAAATACCATCCCAGAATTGGTGTCACAAGTGCACGAGCTTCTAGAATGATACAAATAAAGTTCTGAATAAAATAAAGTTGTCTGGCAACAAACACACAGCTAAAGTAAGTAGACGACGACTTCAGAACTGCGGACGCCGTGCAGTTATACCTCAAATCTCCTCTGGTAGCTGAAATCCGAGCAAGTCTATGGTACGCCGCTGGGACCAACTCCGAAATTTGTACAAGAAGTGCAGAGTGTAGTATCAGTACAACCGACCCCATGTACTGGTAAGTGATGAGCCTAACCTCGACGAAGTATTGACGAGGCTAAGGCAGGTCACTTATATTAACCTGTACGCAATATTAGTAACAACAACAAATAATAGAAATAAATCAGGTAACTCATTTATAATAGTTGAAGCCAACTCAGCAGTCATAACCAATTATTAATTCAACCAATTTTTGCTGTAGCGTGCAAACCACTCCCACAATATATTCATTTTCAATCCTCCAATATATTATTTTAATANATATATATATATATACACTTTCATTTACATTGCGGCGTGCAACTCGTTCCCCCAATATAACTTTAAACAACTCATATATGTAATAAAAATTACTCCAATATTTACCACATCCAATGAGAAACTAATAAGCATCAAGGCACACAATAATTATAATTTATTTATGAACAAACAATGGCAATTAATTGTGAAAATCGTGGAGAAATAGGCAGTTTAATATTTAATATGCTAAATGTCAAATACCAATTAAGACACATAAATCAAATAACATGTAACGATTATTGCAGGAATTCAATAATTAATATTTGACAAAGAATAGGAGACAAACAATTATTATAACAATTAATTTATGATTTAAAACGATTTATAATTTTCAAGTAATTATGCAAACAATTAATTTGACGATGTATAGACACTCGTCACCTCGCCTATACGTCGTTCACATGCATTTCACATAACAAATAGTTTAAGGGTTCTATTCCCTCAAGTCAAGGTTAACCACGACACTTACCTCGCTTTGCAATTTCAATCAATTACTCGACCACAACTTTTCCTTTTGAATTTGTCCCCAAAAGCGTCAAATCTATTCACAAACAATTCGATATACTCAATATGAATCATAGGAATTAATTCCATATGAATTTACTAATTTTCCGGATAAAATCCGAAATTCACTTTAAAAATTGACAGTGGGGCTCACGTCTCAAATCTCGAAAAAACTTACGAAATCCGAACATCCATTCCGAGACGAGTCCAACCATACAAAAATTATCAAATTCCGATGTCAAATGGACCTTCAAATCTTAAATTTTCGTTTTTGGAAGATTTTATAAAATCTGATTTTTCTCCCAAAATTTCACGGATTCATAATATAAATGACTATGGAATCATGGAATATAATCAATATAGGATAAGAAACACTTACCCCAATATTTTCCTGTGAAAATCGTCCAAGAATCGCCTTACCCGAGCTCACAAATGGAAAATGGTTGAAAATGGGACGAATCCCATTTTTCAGAACTTAAGTTCTGTTTCTCAGATTTTTACCTTATGCAATCGTGTACAATGCTTCGCGATCACGAAACATATTTTTGGCTGCCCATCTTTTTGCTCTACGCGAAATCATCCCGTAGCCTATCTGAAGCTCACCCGAGCCCTCGGGGCTCCAAACCAAACATGCACACAAGTCCTAAAACATCATATAAACTTTCTCGCGCGATCAAATTGCCAAAATAATACCTAGAACTACGAATTGAACCCCAAATCGAATGAAATTTTCAAGAAAACTTTAAAACTTATATTTTCACAATCGGACGTCCGAATCACATCAAATCAACTCCGATTCTCACCACATTCGACAGACAAGTCATAAATATTATAGTAGACCTATACCGGGCTCCAAAATCAAAATACGGACCCGGTGTCAATAAATCCAACATCAGTAATTTCTTAAAAATTATTAAGCTTTCAAGCTTTTAATTTTCCATCAAAATTTCATATCTCGAGCTAGGGACCTCAGAATTCAATTCCGGGCATAGGCCCAAGTCCCAAATTACTATACGGACCTACCAAAACTGTCAAAATACTGATCCGAGTGTGTTTGCTCAAAATATTGACCGAAGTCAACTCAGTTGAGTTTTAAGGCTCTATTTCACATTTTAATCTATTTTTCACACCAAAACTTTTCGAAAAATTATACGGACTGCACACACAAGTCGAGGAGTGATAAATAGTACTTTTCGAGGTCTTAAAATAAGGAATTAGTTATTAATTTAAAGATGACACTTTGGGTCATCTCATATGAGAATACTTGTCTGAGGGTGAGGCTTTGATGCCTTTTCCCTTATCTTCAGTCTTGGCTCCGTTGTCGGGGATGGAACTAAAGTACATTTTGAATGGTTAGTTATGCCATTTGGATTAAAAACAGCTCCACCTATCCTTTTTCTTTGGAAGATAGGTGAAGTTGTTTTTAATCCAAATGGCATAACTAACCAAATCCCTATAATTTTTCCAAAAAGTGAAGATGAAGGCTCATCAAGCCAACTGAGAAAGAGACTACCTAAAACACTAATACAAGGAGAAGTCTCGAGAAAGAAAGGAATAATTATAAAAAAGAAAAAAAAGATAAAATAGAAAGTATCGTTAAGGAAACATTAGAGAAATTCTTTCAAGACAAAGAAAAACAAGACAAGCATGTTATTAGAAATCCTAGTCCAAGTCCTAGTCCAGAAATAAACCAAGATAAATAAATCCTATGTTCAAGTGTGCAAGTGTTTAATTTCATGTCCAGTAAAACTCTTTCGGGTTTACCGAAAGGGAAATCTCTCTCCTGTAAACATCTAAGTTACTATTTTTTTACTAGAAATTATGTTACTGTTTATCACCCCGATTTATGTTTTGTGTCTTTAAGTTTTTATGTCTTTAAAAAGGGGGTATCAGGGAATGTGTCATAGGTAAACTCCTGGTAATTTCCCTTCCTAAAACTCCTGATATTTCCCTTCCCTTCCACAAAGATGTCTGATTGATAATCTATGGATAGCATATTCTACCAAGGTAAAAAGGGGGTAGTATAAAACTAAGCGTATACTTGTCACGACCCAAAATCTGACTAGTCGTGATGACACCTAACCCAACCCACTTGGTAAGACAATTATCAACTATCTAATTCCAATGAATTTAGTAAGGCAATTAATTTAAAGAAAATATATGAAACCAATATATTTCCCCAAGAACTGGTAGTACAAATCATGAGCTTCTAGAATATAATTTACAAAACTAGTATGAAATAATACATCAACTGTTCGAAATGTACATGAACAGGTTGTTATAAATCT